CCCTGAACGGCGTCCGGGACCCCCAGGGCGGGACTCGAGCCCCCAAGGCAGACGCGGGAACCCCTGAGCGGCGGTGGGGACCGTGCAATGGCACCTGGACCCCCACCCCGCGCGGGACGGGAGCGAGGGCTCGGTGGGTGACAGCAGCGCCGGCGAGACTCGGGGTCCGGCGCCCACCGAGGCGGCGACTGCAGCTGGCGCTCGGTCTGGCGGGAGCGGCCCACGCGGAACAAAAAGCGGCTCGGCCCCGCCCCTCGCCCGTGGCACACGCCAATCACCAGCACGTGATGCGAGACGACCAATGAGGAGCACGCCCCGTGCCGGGCCATGGCGCTGGCGAGCCCGCCCCGGCCGCACGCCAATCAAAAAGCTGCTCGGCCCCGCCTCCCCTGACCGCGGCACGCGCCAATCACCAGCACGTGATGTGGGACGACCAATAAGCAGCACTCCCCGTGCCGGGGCGTGGCGCTGGGGAGCCGCCCCGTCGTCACGCCAATCACCAGCACGTGATACGGAACCACCAATGAGAAGCACGGCCCGTGCCGGGGCGTGGCGCTGGGGAGACTGTCCCGGCCGCACGCCAATCACGAGCACGTGACGAGGAGCGGCCCGCGGGCAGCCCCGCCCCATCGCGCAGCCGCTCGACGCGCCATGTGGGCCCTGCGGGCCGCCGTACGCCCGCGGTTCAGGCTTTTCCCCTTGTGCTGCAGCCGCCCGGCACCGAGGGCACCCGCGCCATCATTCCCCGCGCGCGGTCTCGCCGCTGTCGGCCGCGGGGGCCCCGGGAATCTGGAGGGGCCATGGGGCCGAGGGCGGGGCCTGCGGGCGGACGGCGGCCGAAGCTGTGCGGGAGACGACGAGGAGGAGCCGGAAGACTCGGACGAGGACGCAGAGGAGGAGCTGCTGCAGAGGGAGCCTCTGCTGCCGGCGGGGACCCAGCGCGTGTGTCTGGTCCACCCCGATGTCAAGTGGGGCCCGAGGAAGCCGCAGATGACGCGAGGTGACCGCGCCGGGGATTGCAGGGGAGAAACTGGAGCTGGCGATCTGCGGGCGGGCCGCTGCGGGGAGGGTCTCGTTGGTGGAGGCTCAGGGGCGGGGCGCTGAGGGGACAATCTCATAGGTGGAGATTCAGGGGCGGGGCTCTGGGTACAAGCTCATTGGTGGGGGCGCAGGGGCGGGGCGCTGAGGGGACGATCTCATAGGTGGAGATTCAGGGGCGGGGCTATGGGGGACAAGCTGATTGGTGCAGGGGCGGGGCGCTGAGGGGACGGTCGCATAGGTGGAGACGCAGGGGCGGGGCCTCTGAGGGGAAGATGCAAGAGGGTATGGGGGGGCGGGGCTTCAGGAGGCGAGGCTCTGATGGGTGGAGATGCAAGGCGTGGCTCTGAAGGGGCGGGGCTCTGAGGGAAAGCTCTCATGGATGGGGCGGGGCTCTGAGGGGAGGATTTCATAGGTGGAGGTGCATGGGCGGGGCTTCGGGGGAGGAGCTCATGGTGAAAGGGCGGGGCTTATGGGGAGGCTCTCATAGGTAGAAGTGCGTGGGCGGGGCTTCGGGGGGAGGAGCCTATGGGTTAAAAGGGCTGGGGCGGAGCTTATGGGGAGAAGCCCCTGGGGTGTGATGGGCGCGGTCTTGGTGATGAGACCCCGTTTCTCTTGCCCCGGGTTCGAGGTAGGCACGGTGTTTTGGGGCTCAAGGAAGGGAGGGCATCCAGCAGACCATCCAGCAGGCTGTCCAGTCCCCCAGGACGGAATCCAAATCCCTAAGTCACTGCAGGTGCCAGAGTCTCAAGAATGTTGGCATCTTCCCTGGAGGCCCCTGTAGCCGATGAGCAGATCTCATTCAAGGGTGTTTTCCAAAATGGGCAACTCTTGGGACAGCGGAAGCCCCAAACTGCTCAGAACAGCACCCAGACCTCCTGCCTTTCCCCCCAACCCTGCCCCTGGTTTCCAAGCCATCCCTGAGCACCCCTAGCTCCCCAGTTCCCTGCTGCGTCCGCCTGGACCCCAAATCTTATGTAAGGCAGGGTGGGGAGCCCTCATATCCCGTGGTGGCTCCAGCGTCCTTCCCTGGCCAAGATTCCTACTTAGAGGCCCCATGGTCAAGGCCAGGAGGAAGCCACGCCGGGCAGGTGTGGACGGGGCCCTAGGCCTACCCCAAAAGGAAGCGTCCCTCACGGTGGCCCTTGTGTCCTCGCAGCTGAGTGGCAGGTAGCAGAGGCCACAGCACTGGTGCACACGCTGGACGGGTGGTCCGTGGTGCAGACGATGGTCGTGTCCACCAAAAGTCCAGACAAGAAGCTCGTCTTTGGCAAAGGGAACTTTGAGCACCTGACAGGTGAGTCGGTCCACACCTGCCCCTTCCCCAGACCTCTTTTCCCATCCGCTGTTCCCGAGAACATTCAACCCAGATGCGTGGAAGGACGTGGGTCTCGCTGGGCCAGAGGGGAAGCGGCCCCATGAGTGGCTGGTCCAGGTGAGCTGGGAGCCCACGTCAGGAGGAGCCGGAGGGATGGGAGGCTGGACCTGTGTCCCCGCTCCACGGACTGTCTTAGCGTGGGGTCCTTCGTGGGGGCCTTGTGCTTCCCGGTTTTTGACCATCCGACTTACAGTGCAGAGTGGGGAAGACCCTACTAACTACTACTAAGTAACCTACTAAGTAGCAGAGGTGGGAG